TATGTATATATATACAATTTCATTATAATATACACACATATTATATGTACCTTTATCTGTTTACTTACCTGTCAGTAAGAGTGTTACATCAGGCAAAAGGCACATTACTGACATTGTCTACATTTATTGATTGGAATGAACCAAACAATGTTAAAACGGTCAAAGTTCCACTAAGAAGTTAGTTTTCGTTGTAATCCCAGAGTGTTTCGAAGACCGTATTATTGATTTTTGCGCTAGGCAATAGTAGCCTAGAGGATTTACATCATTATGGAAGCAAGGTGTAGACGTAGGAAAAATATTGAAATAATAAAGACTACTGGCGCTCCCAAGTCATATACGAGTATAGAACGAACGAATTAATGAGATCCAACTTCTGGGTTGGAGCAAAAACGCTGTCTACAAATTTCCTGTGACGAACACAACATAAAAGGAAAACTCGATGGATTTTAGTAATTTTTTTATTTCGTTTACAAAATTTGATAAACTTAAATCAGATCTTCCAACTGCAGTAACGTTTCAAATGAAGTCCACAAAAAGTACGGTAATTCATATAATACAAAACCGAATGCCCCAGAGACTACTAGCGGAAAGAGCTTACCACACCCGTGAATTCAGCTTCAAATCAAGAGGAAGATCAGGGAGGACCTGGCTGCATAGGGTTAAAAAGGTCCTGGAACAATATCGTATCACAGACGCCATACACTTAGTATGAATTCTATGAATAATTATGTGTTGTCGTTACCGACTGTTCGGTGATTTAAAGGGACGCCTGTTATAAATAACAGTCGTTATTTTTCCCTGAGGCAGATGTTAAGCTGACAATGAATTAAATGGACTGACTTATTATTTCTCTTTCAATCTACAAAAGGACAGGGTTTAACAGTTGTTATACGCTGAGTACAGGGAAACTTCTTGTATCTGACTTTGGCTACCAGTGTATTATGGGATAAAACTATAAACATTGTTTGTTGTGTGATGAAGCGTGAGCAGCAGTTACGCTGTGGTAACGAATTTACTGCGCTTAGAGAAATTTGATGTATCTGAGAAGAGCCCTATAACCATTAAAAATTTTATAGCTCCTCTAAGAAAAGTTCCTCTGAACTGTTTACTTGTTCCTGTACTAAAAGCTCCGCCTTCGAAATTGAAGTAAACGGTGGCATTAAAAATCGTATGGTGTTTTTAACACGATCATCATCATCATCATCATCATCATCATCATCATCATCATCAGCAGCAGCAGCAGCAGCAGCAGCAGCAGCAGCAGCAGCAGCAGCAGCAGCAGCAGCAGTAGCAACAGCAAAAACAATTTCAGCTACAAAACCCTTCAAACTTATTAATTTATGTCTGTCTCTCTCTATTACCATTCTCATGTCCCCCTCCCTCTCTCCCCCTCTCTCTCTGTCTCATCCCCCCCCTCTCTCTCTCTCTGCCCCATCCCCCACTATCTCTCTCTCTCTCACTCTCTCTCTCTCCCTCTCTCTCTCCCTCTCTCTCTCTCTCTCTCTCTCTCTCTCTCTCTCTCTCTCTCTCTCCCTCTCTCTCTCTCTCTCTGAAAAACGCTCTCTGAAAAACGACAACGGCAGCAGCGACTACAAAGGCTAACACAAGGTATAGTCTTTCAGCTCCTATAACGAGTGAACATCTATAGGCTGCAGCCGCTGTAAACACCCACCCCACCGTTTTCTGCGAGCGCCAGTGTGGCAGCACCGATTCCCAGGGAACGTCATCCAACGAGTCCGCGTGAGCCGGTAAGGGAGCACTGAGCGACAATGTGGGTTCAGTGAAAGCCGCGTTTCTCCGAGTGAGCTACAGGAGTACCCTCGTGGAACCTTGAAGGTTAGTCGGTGCTTTTGATACTGATGGTGTGCGTTGATAAATTGTGTTTATAATATGATTATGTTGTAGTGATAGTTAAAACCATTCTTTAGGTTATTTTTGATTAACGATTCATTAATGTGTTTTCATTGTTTGCATTTTGTTGGCATTTTATGTACTTAGACGGTGTTGTTTGACATACCTACTTTATATTTTTGTGGTAGGGTTATTAAACATTTGTTTGTTTTTTTTTCATTTGATGTTACTACACGTTTTACCTTAGGGTGGCAGATCTGTCTACGGTTGTAATCTATTTGTTTTTGATTTATGGCGATGCCAAACCATAATATGGACACTCCGTCCGGCTGATAGGAATAAACCTTTATGTGATTGCAATTGTAGGTGTTTACGTCCCCATCGACACAAGTTAGATCATTAGAGGATGGGCTGCTTTAGCCTTTCCTGTCAGGGCCGACTTAGGAGGAGAAGGATACAACGCCTCTGTGGAAAGACAGTGAGATATTCGATTAAAGAACAGCAACAGTCAACACACACACAAACACTAAACAAATACAAACACACACACACACACTCACACACACACACACAGCGAGAGAGAGAGAGAGAGAGAGAGAGAGAGAGAGA